ACTGCTCAGGAAAACTCAGCAGGGCCAAAGAAAACTTCTCCGTTGAGAGATTCAGGGCTTATGCAAATATCCAGACTGCAAGGAAGGCCTGTGATTTTCCTTTGTGCTCTGTTTGTAATAAACAAACCACCACGGCAACATGATTAGGTCGTTAACAGAGATAGATGAAGCCAACCAAACCATTACTCTGCACTTACCCATATGGAATTGCTGTTCTGTTCATGATCCTGCTCCATTTGTGGAACAGGGTGGTGAAAGGATTCCATGGTCATTATGTGCTTCAAGAGGATGACCACACAGGGGAGGAGAAATCGGGTGTAGGAGGAGACTGCAAAGGAATATCTGGGGAAGGCCCTCACCAAGGAAGGCAAATGAGGGACTGGCTGGTGCAGGGTCAAGTTCGTTATCTACCTACATGTCTTTGTACCCCTGAGATATCAGTGTCTTCCTCTGTAAAATGGTCTGCGAGTGTCCTCAGTGTTTCCTGATGCACACTAATTCTGTGGTATCTTAAAAGGCATTCTAAGGTAAAAATAACTTCCTTTTTAAAATAAAAGGGGAGAGGATGTGGAGAAATAGGAATGCTTTTACATTGTTGGTGGAAGTGTAAATTGGTTCAACCATTGTGGAAGACAGTGTGGCAATTCCTCAAGGATCTAGAAATAGAAATACCATTTGACCCAGCAATCCCATTACTGGGTATATATCCAAAGGTTTATAAATCATTCTATTATAAAGACACATGCACACACATGTTCATTGTGGCACTGTTTATGATAGCAAAGACTTGGAACCAACCCAAATGCCCATCAGTGATAGACTGGATAAAGAAAATGTTGCACATATACAACATGGAATACTATGCAGCCACAAAAAAGGATGAGTTCATGTCCTTTACAGGGACATGGATGAAGCTGGAAACCATCATTCTCAGCAAACTGACACAAGAACAGAAAACCAAACACCACATGTTCTCACTCATAAGTGGTTGTTGAACAATGAGAACACATAGACACAGGGAGGGGAACATTATACACCAGGCCTGTTGGGGGTGGGGAGGCTAGGGGATGGATAGTAGGGGGTGGGGGCATTGGGGAGGGACAACATTAGGAGAAATACCTAATGTAGATGATGGGGGGATGGATGCAGCAAACCACCATGGCATGTGTATACCTATGTAACAATCCTGCACAATCTGCCCATGTACCCCAGAAGTTAAGGTATAATAATAATAATAAGGGGAAATATTTGTTTAGATAAGGTTTGCTGTTACTGTTTTTGTGTGTTTGTTACTGCAGGATTTATCAGGGTCTTTAGAGGCTAATATAATTATTAATCTCCTAGAGATGATAAACTTGAAAGCATTTCCCAAACTTGATCACCAAGCAACTTATCAGAGTTTATTATGGAAAACAGTTTCCCAGGACAGAGCTCAGGAGAATGCTATACTACCTTGTGTCTGGGTATGATTTATTTGAAGGAAAGCTTGGCTCCCACTTCTTTTCATAACGAGCTCTTGGGATGGGGTGGCAAAGCCAATTTATCTTATTGGGAAGAGAGAAGGACACGCAAATGTGCTTTTTTGGTTAAAAGCTCTTTGCACATCTGTGTCCCCAAAACTTCTCCACTTACTTATTAGTACCAAAAATCCTATCAGAGACAAATGGACTTTACATTGTGCTTTGAGAAATAGAGTTTATGCCTATATTGAACCCATACTGCACCACATATTTTTATATAAATTTTATGTATCTCATTTAATTTTCATAGGGCTCCCACAACAATGGTTGTGCATATTGTGTAGTAAATGACATTCATAGCCTTGCCTGAAATATACACATTATTGTTCCTATTTAACTGGTAAATTCAGGTCTAGGGAGCTTAAGTGTCAGAAAAGGTAATAAGCCTAGGAACTGGTATATAAATGCAAGTCTCTTCCTTTTGAAGTGCCAAGAATAATTTCAATTCTTTTCCAGTTCATTTTTTAATTTTTCAAATCAGGCTGACCCCGATAAGTAGTAATTTACAAATGTAAACCTTAGTGCAAATTCAGAAGTCAACTTTTAGTATCTTGGCCACTTGAAGAAAAATGAAAGTTGCTGAAGTATATGATAATTTTGATCAAATATCATATTATTTCTTCATAATAAAGCACTCGGAAACATAGAGGCTTGAAACAATTTTATTTTCTTGTAGTACTTCTAATCATCTCACTTGGGGTCATTCATATGGCAGGAGTCACCTGATGGCTCAGTTGTGGCCAGGAGGCCTAGCACACTAGCACTGTCTTGCTGTCATAACTGATGATGGTTGCTGGCTCACAACAGGAACCTTTCCCGGCACCTAGACCCCAGTATTGAATAGACAACCATGGGAATCCACATGTTCAGGCTTCTTGAGACTTAGGCTGCGGAACTTTTACACCATCAGTTCCCCTAAATTCTGTTACTCAAAGTGAGTCATAAATCTAGTTCAGACATAAGGGGCAGAAAATAGACTCATTCTTGGTGGTAAGAACAGCAAAGTCATACTGGAGAAAGCCTACAGACGGGAATTATTGCTGTAATCTTTGCGAACACTTGACCACCATTCTAGCAGATACTTCTTAGAACATCTGTTTAGTCAATGTCCCATTTTCTGGGAATCTATCTTCTTGTTAATGTGATAGGGCTGACCCTAATCCCCTAGTAAGAGCTAATTAGACCAAGAGATGTAACCCTACCTCAGAAGAAGTCAATCCATTGCCAGAATTGATTCAACCAGATTATTTCCCGAAGAATTTTAAGTTCTGAAGCAAAGAAATAAGTTAGTGAATCAGTAGTACTGAAATCAACAGCCATTAGGTGCAGCCATTTGTTTCTCCACATTTATGGAAAAGCAGAGATGTCCAATTCATTTGTTCATTGAAAAATATTTACATGTGAAAAATGAGCCATACCCATTACGTGCTTGGCACTCTAATAGGTACTTGGCTCACTCAACTGAGAAAGTATGATAAAATCATATGCACAGGGATAAGAGACTAAACTCCACACTTTTCCAAAGAGACAGCTCTGGTTCCAAAACCTGATGATGCTTGTTGTATATCCTTCTCTTGTTTGCTCCAAGTTGCTTTGGAACTGTACAATAAAAACTCTTATTTTCCTTAAGCTGGTAGAAATGGCTTCGATTACTTGTATCTAAATGAGTCCGGATATAGAATTCTATTGAGAGAAACTGCCAATTACTTCTGTATTGGCAGAGAGACTATAATGTTGAAACAAACTGTCTACTATTCCTAGAACTTTTAAGAATTAGTACCTGCGTGATATGGTCATTTGAACTGTCAACAGCAGGACCTGAAGATGTCAGGCAGATTCTTCTCTATTTTTATACAGCAAGATGTTTCCAAATGTAGTAAATCTCTGACTTGCTTACTGGGCATAAAATGAGTCAGGAGGAATAAGCCTGTCTTTCTGTTAATACGTATTTATTCAGCATTGCACTGATTATTCTTTGAGTGCATATTGTGTGTCAGGCACCATTCTAGGCATTTAAAAAAAAAATCAACAAACCAAATTGACAAAATTTCTGTTCTTATAGAGCTTACAGTTTAGCACTTTCTTCCCAGGTTATAAAAAATGTGAAAAGGAAAGCATAGATGTCATTTTTAACTCTCTTAGTTTGTTTAGAAAAAGATATTTTCTAAAACTGGTATTTACTAGCATAGGTACTTTCTTATTGAGAAATCCAATGGTCAATAACCTTATCTAGTCCTTAAACATTTTTGAATGTACAAGTGCAGTAGAAAAGGAAAAAGCAACAACAAAGATATTAAAAAGGATCCAGTGATGTTGATATACTAAATGTTTCTGTGAAATAATTCACTCAGTCTCTTGAAATATTGAGCCTATGTTTCTAGCTGAAGAAATGCTGAGCTGCCCTCTCATTGAGATAGAACTAGTGAGGTTAGGGGATAATAGATATAATACAGCAGAATTCAGAGCATCGTAATTCATCTGTTGTATGAATGCTAAGAGCTTGATTTCATTCTCATTAGTCCTGGGCAGTCTGTGTTTTTCCTCTGGCAAATTGTTAATACAGATTTAAATCAGTTGCTTCTTCCATCTATTGGAAGAAAAAGGCCATTTAGCTTTTCAAGTATTTTTTTAAATTAATACTCAAATATTTCTTGAGTTGTTTTAATATGGGAAAAGCTTTGACTTAAAAAAAATGTGGCTTCTTTTCTAATAGTCAAGATGTTGCTTCTCAGATGGCTGGCTTTGAATCTCTATTCTGGGAGTTCAAACATTAATACATTTCCTAAATAGTCTACATGCTAGCTAATAGGCTCACAAAAGAATATTTACTAAATCAATTTTCAAAACAAACTTTTACCCGAGATTTGTTGTAGAGGCTGCAAATGTCTCTACAACAGAAGGATGTGGGAGAGGATAGACTGTTATATAGATAGAGATATAGAAATATATTGATAGAGATATAGATAGAGACATAGAGTTTTGATACTCATACTGCATTTGCTGTTGGAAATCATTATCTTCCTGTTGAACCCTTCGAATGCTTAATCAGAGCAGTTGAAGTTGTGCCTATGTTTGATACCATTTTTTTTCTCAACCCATAGAAACATGTCTGCACAGTTGACCTGGTCCATTAAACACATTATACAGAAAAAAACATCATGTATTAACTACTCGCAAAAAATGAAAGGTAGGCCAGTCATGGTGGCTCACACCTGTAATCCCAGTGCTTTGGGAGGCTGAGGCAGGCGGATCACCTGAGGTTTGGAGTTCGAGACCAGCCTGTACAGGCCTGTATGTAACCCCAGCTACTCGAGAGGCTGAGGCAGGAGAATTGGTTGGACCCGGGAGGCAGAGGTTTTGTGTGGTGAGCCAAGATTGTGCCATTGCCCTCCAGCCTGAACAACAAGCGAGAAACTCCATCTCAAAAGAGAGAGAGAGGGAGAGAGAGAGAGAGAGAGAGAGAGAGAGAGAGAGAGAGAGAGGGGTGACCTGGCATAGAACTGTGAATATAGGTCTTGAAGATAAATATATAGGTTTGGATTCAAGCTTGGTTACTTACTGGCCACAAGACCTCGAACAAATTGCTTGGTATCTCTGTACCTCCAGCTTTCTCATCTATTATAAGGACACTTTTATCCCATCTAGTTCATATGTATATATATGTAAATAAAGTAATGCAGCCATAGCACAATGGCACAGAATAGGGCACTGTTATTTCTACTGCAAGATGATAGAACAGTAGTAGGGGTAAGGAAATATAAGTGAATAGAACATATATTTGTGGAATCTCAAAGCAAAAACAAACCTTATCAATAAGTAAGCTCTTCTAAGTTTTTCATTTTGTAGACCCTCAGTCAGATGCCCAGAGAAGTTAAATGACTCACCGTGAGTGACCAAGCAAACTGAAAGAGCCGAGAGTTATATAATCAGAGGTAAGATGCTTTGTAACTGGTCTGTTCTTTCATTTATCCCTCTCATAATAAGGTGGTGTCTGTGATCATTATAGCATATTACCTGAGTAGCATTAGCAGTAACTTCAATCCAAGGAGTTACCTGAGACTCTACCACTTAAATGTAGATCAAAAAGAGGAAACTTTTGTATCATCAGGATAAAAGGGAGCCCAATGCCTAAAGAACAGATTGTATCCCTGAGTCTATTAGCTCCCTTATGCTTCAAAAGAAAATTCTCTTGGGCAGATAAGAAGTTGGTATTGCAAAAGGTAATAAATACATAAATTTTCATGCGTAACAGTCAGGGCTTGAGCAGGCTTGCCTACAATGCAGCCCACACCATCCAGAACTCTCCCCCACCCTTCTAGCTCTTGTGCACTACTCATGGCTCTGAGCAACAGAGGAAGGAAGTGCTCATTGTTCAGGGTACAAATTAATCAACTGAGGGGGTTGTTCTGAGTGGAAATGTACACTCTTCCCTCCTACTACCATGTATCTCACCCTCAAGATGCCACATAGGATGTGAGGAGCTTGGAGGCCGTGGTAGCAGAAGCCACTTGCACTGCATTGTGTGGGCACTTGAGGCTCCCTGCTGGACCATGATGTTGAGCTCCCTGGGCTGAGCATCTGTCCCTTATAAATAAAGCCTTTAAGAATCTGCATCTGTGGGGTCCAAAGTGGCTCCTGCCGGAGGTCATGGCGCTCGTGAAGGCGAGGTCATCAGTTCAAGGCTAACCTCAGAAGAATCTGCATCTGTAACTTTCCCAGGTGATACTGTCTTGCTAAACTGGAGAGAGACAGTGATATAAAAATAATCCACTTTTATTTGTAGTAGCAGCTCAGAAATGCCATGGTGATCAGCTATTTAGTTCCATGGGCATGTTCTTTCATGGCCTCTGAGAGAGAAATGTTTGTTTAGTTTCTTCTAGACTGTTTGGCCAGGTTATTTTCAGAGGGAATTCAAAAAAGAAAATACTTTTATAGTAAGATAAAAGCTAATTGCTTATAATTAAGTTCAATAGAAACACCCTCCATAATTTAATAAAACTTATTTTTTAAGGTCTTTAATGTTTTATACATGCCTGCTGAATGAATCAGCAGAAGGCTATTTTACAAAGTACGATTCAGATAAATAGGGAATGATTTGTGCTTTCTAAGCCCTAAGTTTTCAGTCTGGTTTCTTGGAAAAGGAAGAAAACGAATGTAGATTATTTGCTTCTGGAACAACATATTTTATTTGTTCTTCATTCTTTCCTTGAGAAATATTTGTGAGTTTAAGTTGCAGAGGCCAAATGATGCTTCTTAAATATTATTCATAATATTCTAACTGAATTGAAACATAGTGAGACAGGAGATATTTGAATTTGTGCCCTGACCCCACCAACACTGACTAAAATCATCTCCTGAAACAGAATAGCTGTGAATGGCCAGAGACAGATTTCTTTTTGCTTCTACTCTCCACTTTTCTTTGTCCCTCTGTTCCCATTGTCAGTTGTAACACCTTAGCTAAAGCACTTTCGTGTGCAGTCAGTTAAGCCTTTTGTGACTAAGATTGTAGTCAGGGGAAGGTATATCTTCTACTGCCATTTCCTATTGATGTATAAAATTAAGGTAATTTGGTATCTTTAAATCTCAAGCCTGGATATTCTCGTTAGTGCTGTGGATCATGGAGTAGCTAAGGAGACAAAGCACTCCCACCCCTCTGGATAAGAATCAGCAACCTCTTCTCCAATCTGTTTTGTTACATGCGTTGCCATGGTGTTGGAAGGCGGTGGCCTAGATAAAGCATTGCAGAACTGTGGTTCAGAGAAAAGCTTTGCAAAATGTCTTCTCTCTCAGTCAGCCTTAGCCCTACTTAGGGTCTCCATCTACCTTCCGTGATCTGATGGATGCAATACCAATGTCATCAATAAAGTCTCCTAAAATCTCCCTAATGATCTTGCTGTCTTTACATTTCTGAAGGTCCCCAAAGTGCCTTCACGCCTATCTTTCTATTTCTTTCTTCTCTGTTTCTCCCCTCTATCCCTCCTCTTTTTCTCTCTCTCTTTTACATTTATTGAGTACCATGTACAGTACTGTGCAACAGGGGACTGGCTCCTGGTTACACAACCTTATTACCATGTATTATTTTCCCTTTCTTAACACATATTGCACCTGAAGCGTTGGACAATTGAGTGCTTTAGTGTTGTGATAGGATTACACTGCCTGGAAGTTGGGCAGAGCCAGGTTTCAAGTCAAGCTCTCTCTGACGTCAGAACCTCTGCACTTTCCATCATATTCAGGACTTGCAGGGTCTAAAGTGATCTGCTGGCTGCAGGTATCCCCTAAGGCTCTCCCAGTAGAGAGCCCAAGTAACAATTAGCTTACTTGTTACTAATTTGTAGATCTCAGGATCTCCTTATTGGTGAGGAATGTAATAGTAAAATCTAAAGAAAACAATTACCTGAGGTGGCTAAGGGGATCCTATAGGAATCGACTGCTTGCATCTAAAGCAGGATGTGCTAATTCAACTCTGCAGCAAATCATTTTAATTTCATAAGACTCACCCAGAGAATGCTAATTAAAAATTTGGATTCCTGATGCTGTAGCCTTTCTTCCTGATTTACTAGAACAGAAATGGAGCCCGGGAATGTGAATTTTAACAGTTTCCCTGGGTGATCCTATGCAAGTGGTTTGAGGACCATACTTTAGTATGCACTGCTGGAAGGCAGTGTTATGAAAGTGGAGAAGATTGAAATAGCCTGGGAAGCTTTAAAATAATATAGATTTTTGAGCCTCACCCCACACCGATGGAATTAGAATCTTTGTGATAGGCAGAGATGGACCTTGAGATTCTGTACTTTTTTCCCCAGGTGATTTTGAAATAACCAGTCTTATTACTATCATTTGGTAAATGCTTTCAACTACTTTCCCATCCATATATCATTAGCATCAGACTCTCGGTTCTATATCTGCAATCCTGACGCCTCCTTCCAGGCCTTTGTACCACTGCCTCCCGCTCACCCCCACTCCTCTTTCTAAGGGGTTAGAATGTGCTTAAAGCTGGACTGCCATTTTGAAAAATATTCCCCTAGGAGACAAGCATATTTCAAGCACCATTCTGAGCTGAACTCTTGATTTCAGCAAAAAACTCTTTTAAAATGATGAAGAAACATGGTTTAATGAAACTATTGAAAATTCCATAAAATTTATCCTACGTGACTAAGCTGTAGCAGCTTTTTGTATTCAGTTTAACCCACATGGAAAATGTTAAATCACCATATTAACAACACAATCTAGCAGTTGAATAGCATGACAGTTACCATGGGAATGTGCCAAACACAGGTGGGCTGGCAGTGTGTGTAGGGGGTTTTGGAGGGGGATGTATTGTAGGTTAGAACTGCTATGCCTGTTTTTATATTTAAATTATTTATACAGTCAACAGATTTTAAAGAGATGCATCTGGACTTTCTAAATTATGATCTTCCGCCTCTCTACCTTGTCAACTTGTTAGAGGGAATTATTTAAATGCTATAAGTCCAACCTTTTTCTTTTGGTGAAAACATGGTTATTTCTGCCTTCAGCTAGAATCTCTGACTCTTTTTCTACGCAGAATTCTGGATGTAGTAATAATAATAATGACCAAAAATGTAAAATCCAAATGCATTCTATATACTGCAAGACCCTAGATAATGGAACCTTAGCTAGCTCCCTGATGTCACCTTGTACAGCCCCTGGTTTTACCCTTATAATGACACTATGATATGGATCCTATTCTTATTTATTCCTGTTTCATAGATAAATAGAAAATACAACACTGTAGTGCCCCATGACCAAAGCTCTTATGGATTTAAACAACACAATGAAATTGAGTGTTAAACTTGTTAAAGAAGATTTGCTACCCACACATTTAGATTCCTTACCCACACTGATTTGGCCAACTCTTGGTGGCACATCTGTGAGTCTGCATTATAGTCACTCATGGAGATTATTAAAGATAACAGTGCCTGGCTTTACCCCAGAGCCATGGAATCAGATTTCCAACAGTGAGTAGTGAGGAGATACAGAGCTCAGTCAGGAAAAGGTAGTCTATAGACACTCTAGGTTATTCTGAGGCACAAGGGTTGAGAATCTGTTGAATTATAAAATAGCTTATTTTGCACATGAGACATTTGTGCTGTTTGAGTGCTGTTAGGGCAGTACTAAGGAAGAAGTTTCATAAAGTCACTTCTGTGTTTTATTTGTCTAGTCCAGTGTCAGGTCAACAACAGCACTACTCACTGGGTGCGGTGGCTTACACCTGTAATCCCAGCACTTTGGGAGGCTGAGGTGGGTGCATCACCTGAAGTCAGGAGTTTGAGACCAGCCTGACCAACATAGTGAAATGCCGTCTCCACAAAAATACAAAAATTAGCAGCGCATGATGGGAGGTGCCTGTAATCCCAGCTACTCGGGAGGCTGAAGTGGGAGAATCTCTTGAGCCCAGGAAACGGAGGTTGCAGTGAGCCAAGATGGTGCCATTGTACTCCAACCTGGGCGACAGAACAAGACTCCATCTTAAAAAAAAAAAAAAAAAGATAGCACAACTACTGTTCCTATGCATATTAATATTCAAAATAATGATAATAAATACCGAGTTAAACTAATTTCTCTGGATCAGGCATTGAACGAAGTTATGCATATCATCTTGTTTAATCTTGCAAACAACCTTTGGAGGTAGATACCAAAATTATATTCTGCATTTTTCAGATAAGGCAATTGAGGGTCACCCAGGCTAAGTTATTTGCACTGGGTCCCATGTTAAATGTGTAAAGCAGATTTTCTTCTTATTTTAACTCCAGTCTTAACCTCTACACAGTATTTCTTCTCAAAGATATTTAGCTAATGGTTTTGGAACGAAGAAACTGGCAAAAAGGAAAGAAAGAAAAATGAATGCAAGGAAGGAAGAGAAGTGAGAGAGGGAGGTGAACAATAATGGAGGAAAAAGGAAGGGAAAGTGGAG